AGTGTGCCAAGCCTTTACAAGTCCACCATGCGCTCTCACATCAACACCATCAGATCCAGATCCAAGGAATCCAAATTAACTTAACTTTTTTTATTAAATTAATTAAGTTAACCTTTTTTAATTTAATTGAAAAAATTTAACTTAGTCCCTTTAGGTTTTATTCATTAAATATTTTCAAATAAACATAACTTAGGTTTTATTAGGTTTTAATTCTTTTTTCTCAAAAAAATCAATTAATCATTAGGATAGATCGTCAATTACATTTCCATTAAATAATCTCTTCGTTTCTTCTTACAACCTTCACGCGTTTCTGTTATGTTTTTCGCATTAGAAATTTTTTATTATTATGTAACTGCTAAAAGTTGTAATAGTTAATTAGGGTTTACTATTTTCTCTCATTTTTATTGTTTGTAACCCCCATCCCCGAAGCATTGTAATAGCTTAGTTTTATCTTCCTGCATTTTACTTTCTGCACTTATAATTATGCTTGTATGTATATATAACTGTATAGTAATTAGGTTTGTATGATAAGATCTAAAATCAAACGATAGCTAACCCTAATCTCAAAGATTAAAATAACTTAATCACAACACACTTTGCACACTCACCTCTAGGGTAACCTCCCTTGTTGCCTTCGGATAAAGCAGTCATGTCCCTCGAACGTGGGACGCTTTTACAAAGACCCTCAGTTAAAAGATTGTAGTCCCTTGATACCCTTCGATGTTGTCTCGGAAAACGATCTTAGTCCCTTACGATAAATTTCTAAAGCGCTCTACGAGTTGCCTTTATGATTGTACGATGACCTGCGCATGTCCCTCAAACATCCAACGATAGGACTTCCTATTAATTAATGGTAGGATAACACTATCTAAAGAAAGAGGAAAATAATGTGAAAGACTTCTGAGTAGGTAGATAGCTCGTAGTCACTTGCTCACAAACAAAAAGACATTCTTTTCACACTAAACACTTCTTTTCTGAAATATTTTCAAAACAAACACTTTGTATGCGTTCTCAACGATACGAGAATCATTACAAAGTTTCCGAACTTAGGCATTTTCAAAATATTTTCAAACTTACACATTCACAAGGCATTTTCAAATGTGAGCTAGCGATTAAGAGCCCGTAGATAACTACGAATGAAAAGAGTACTAATACCTTGCCTTTTCATAACCTACCCCCTTACTCATAAAAATTATCAAAGGTCTTTCCTGTTCTTTTCACCCTTTCCTTTATTGGACAAAAGAAAAGTCGGTGGCGACTCTTGCTATCCGCAACATTTACGATAAAACGCAAAACCAAAAGTCAGTTCTCCCACCGTATTACACTTGTGGACTTGTAATCAGTTTGGTTATAGTGGATTAAGTCCTTGTTGAAGGTGAAATCATCCTTGAGGGAGTGGTCAAGATTAACCTTGTTAAGGTGAATCTGGATAAATCACTTGCGTCCTTTACTCTTCATTGTCTTTATTGTTATTATCATTTGAGTGCTCAGAATTTCTAAAGGGAAATATTTTCTATAAACTCAATTCAAACCCCCTATTTTTTGTGTTTTCTCTATCTTCACCTATTACTCATTTATTCCACCTAATTAAAGTTTTTCGCGTTAGCTATTCAACGCTTCAAACGATACCTCAAACCGAATTCTAAAGCTCAAGTTATGACACTGTAAAAATCCTATTGTTGTTCATCGCCTAAAGCTTCGCCCGACGATGTGGGAGCGACAGCCAACCAATTCTTCTCTGGCCTCCATCGCCCGACGACGCATCTTGCTCGCCTAGCGACACACCTCTCGCTCTTGCATCGCCTGACGATGACGCGAGTGACACACTCTAGTAGCTCCACTTTTCTGCCCATTTCTTCGCTTCCAATCTCAGACGATGACTACCAAGCGACATCATCATCACCGGCGACGCATACTAGTATGTGATTCCCTTCTGCAATCTCTGCACTACACCAGTCTGATTTTTGCACGATTTCACACCAATACAAACTCAAAACTCATCTAAATCATCATGGTTTCACAACATCACAAGAGTACATCATAGTAAACATCATATACATCAATCCTCGTCATTATAACATCAATTTATCACTAATTTCATCAAAATCATCATGATATCAAATTCAAACAAAAACCTAACACAACCTAAAATTATCTAAACCTTAGATAAACTATAATAACAATGATAAACACCCATTACCTTAAATTTTAGCAGCAGATCTATTCCTCTTGGTGTTATATCACAAATCCTTTTGCCCTAACTCTCTCTTCTTTTCACCGCTTCCTCCAAATCTTACGATTGCACATAATGACCGTTCAAAACTCTCAAACCTTCCTTATACCAAACTTCCCCTTGGACCCCTAATATGGTCTTCCACTATTATCCTCGCTTATTCTTCCCAAATGACTACTTTGCCCTTATCACCTCTTAATACCAATATTACTCTATTTTACTAATTAAAATAATTCTAACCAATTATTCTAATTATTCTAAATTATCCAAAATCTTCTTAATTCTCAATAATCTCTATAACACATGAACATCACATAACCATCATAATCATCAAAACAACAAAGATCATCACAATTACTCATCATAAAAAATTAAGAATTTAAATAAATAACTTAATTAATTTGAGGTGTTACAACTCTCCCCCACTTGAAAGAATACTCGCCCTCGAAAATTACCTGACAAAAACAAGATTGAATAAGACTCTCTCATCTGATCCTCACGTTCTCAAGTTCAACTTTCAACAGCTTGTCCACCCCACAATATCTTCACTAAGACGATGTCCTTGCCTCACAATTGCTTCACTTCTCGACATTTTATTCGCACGAGTGATGCTTCCACAATCGGGTTATCTCTCACATATACATCATCCATTTAAATTACATGCGAAGGATCCAGAATGTATTTCCTCAGTTGGAACATATGAAACACATCAGGAAGATTCACAAGTGGCTGCGGCAAAGTAATCCGATAAGCCACCTTGGATATCTTCTCTGATAGGGGCATGACCGTCTTGCTATGCACGACTGACAAGTTCACCCACAACTCGAGGATAGCGGGACAATTGACCCAGGATGATGAGCACGTGTTGCTCATCCCTACTGCCGTGTAAGAACCTTGGTAGTCATCCATTATAGGCATGGATCCTCAAACCCATATTAGAGACCATTGGTTATGCACTGGAAGCCTATAAGTACCACAACTCTAACTCATTCTTACCTCCCACTCTTTTATGACTTCAGCATTAGAGTGCCTTCCGAGTACAACTCCTTCCGTAGAACGCTTACACTAACAGATTATTGGATCGGTCGCACTCTTCTGATCACCGATAAGATCAGTATATTATAGATTGTTTATTGAGACATGCATGTAGATTCTTTGAAGATTGGAATTAGAGTATCTGGACATGCTCTGCTCTTTAGTTTTTTTGTTTTTAAGAGGATGTTGAAGTCCGTATTTTGTGATTTTGTAATGCGAAAGTTAACTTGAATTTTGTTTTTCTATATTCCCCTATTAATTTTTGCCTTTTCTGTCTCGAATTTTGATTTCTCTAATAATGATATGATTTTTTTGTGTAATTACAGATAAAATGTCTGACAACATTGACCGATTGAGACATGGTAGAATGATCCAATATGCTTTAGTTCAGAGGAAAAGAGGTAGACCCTCTTGTTCAACCGTTGGTGCCACTTCTTTTGATGATAAATCATCATCTTTCAGAGTTCACGTGTATTTGACATCGTCCTCTCGAAGACATGAATCAACCCCATATTGCCCCTAATGCCCTAGAAGTCCAATGTCATTCCTGGTGGTTATCTAAGAGACTCATCTAACACCTCACTACTTTGTATATTCAGACCATGTTGTCAGACAAATGTGAGATGAAGATGCAAAATAAATATGTACTTATTTGTAAAATAAATATATTTATTCTTTAAAACATGTATTAAAATTTTTGACGTTGATGTATTGTTTTTTACCACGTGAGACATTGAAATGCATCACCCATGGTATGAAAATTGCAAAGCTGCTATAACCCAATGAACCACGTCAAGATTTCCTGAATATATGCATATAGAGCACATTTAAGCAATATTTGAAGTGCAAGATTTATCCAAACAAGCCTGAATACGAATTATCGAGCTCATTTACGCACTCAATCGAGAGCTGTATTGTTACTACTGTTCTATTGTCGACAATAATTAATTGGGTTTCCATTATTCTTATAGCTATCTTAGCCCTCTACTTATCTGAGATAGCACATGCAAACTCTTACTCAGATTTGGGGATGGTTGGTGTGGGAATTGTGGTTTAGGTTTTTAACTACAGATTTAGAGATTCTCTTGAACTTTAAGAAACATGTAGAACACTTATAAACTCAATAGGCAAATGCCCTGTGGAAGTGGCTAATTCAATTTTTTATACCTCAATCCTTATTTTCTACACAATTTTTTTCTTAACAAAAATCTTTGGAACACTTGTTTGCAAGACCCAACTTAATAAACCTGCTAAATTTTGATGAAACAGACGATTAAATTATAGGTTAAACCATTTAGTCTTTGGTGGACCACCTCTGATGGTATTCCACCCTATAAGTCACCACTAAAGTCCCGATTGAAATGTATAACAATGTATAGAAAAAAGAAACTGTTCATTTTGTTTAGTAGAGTATAGCCATGCAAATCAAGAAAAATAACAATTTTGTTTAGTAGAGTATAGCTATGCAAATCAAGAAAAATAACCAAGGATACAAGCTCGAGATCCAAATAAAAAACCAGCAGTTTGAGTCATTAATTGATTATATCAAATAAAGAAAGAACCATTTTCACTCGAGTTATAAACCCATAATGGTGGTAAAAGTTGCAATTATGCAATTTTATTAAGACAAAAGAATGGATGCAAAGAAAATCAAGAGTCCATAATGATGAGGTTCTGATGGGTCTGAGTTACAAAACAACCACCTCCTCCATAAGAAGAAATAGTCAAGTCATTACTTCTTTCCTATTCCATGTGACATATTATAGATCCCTCGTCCCTGAACAAATGTATAAAGTATTGTTTATTAGATATGGTTATAAACAAGTGGATATGCACGGCAAACTTCAAGTTGATGAAGTCAACAGCTAAAAACCATGAAGTAAAAAAATCATCTAACAATTGAACTCACAATCATAAAAAGTGAAGCTGCAGCAAAAGCAAGTGGAATTGCAACAGATGTAATCTTGTCATAGGGTCCTTTCAAGTGAGTATGCTTACGCATGTTCTGGAAATATTTTTGCTTCTCAATAAGCTTCTCTCGTTGTCTGAACGGTGCTTCGGTTGCTTGTGTCATCCTGCACATGGCAAACAATTATCTCATAAATGCTTTTCCCAAATATGTAAAAGGAGGGTTAAAAAATGAAGAAAGCATTGCATGCAATGAAGTGGAACAAAACAAAACATATATAGCATCACAATCCCTCCCCCTCCTTTCCTTTTCTCTTCATATAAAAAAACTGAGATAAAATGACAGAGAGCCTAAACTAACACCAAGGAAAGACAAAAACACAAAAATAAAACGATGGAAAGAGTAAGCCCATACTTTATTTTTTTACTAAATGTTACAATCATACAGACGATACAGATATAGGTAGTGCCCCTTACCGTGAACTGTGTATTAATTTACATTAGGAAACAAGCTACAGAAAAAAAGCTACATACTTGTTACACATCCCTCTACAGAAAAAATGGATACCCAGGTAGGATTAGTATTTATACATAAAACCCTCAACCAAAATTGAAGAAAGTTCTAACAAACTTGGTATTATAACACATGTTTTCAAAAGTACTAGTTATCTGATTCTCTAATAGGTATAGGTCCCTAAATTGTTTATAACCTTAGTGGAACTAGTCTTGACATCCCTCTACAGAAAAAATGGATACCCAGGTAGGATTAGTATTTATACATAAGCTCAGGTAATTTCTTAGACATTAAACTTGACATATAGGACGAAACCCTCAACTGAAATTGAAGACAGTTCTACCAAACTTGGTATGATAACACATGTTTTCAAAAATACTAGTTATCTGATTCCCTAATAGGTATAGGTCCCTAAATTGTGTATAACCTTGGTGGAACCAGTCTTTGATTCTTACTACCTCTTTCCAAACTCAATAACACAAAAATAGTTCAGTTGCAAAAACATAGAAAACAGAAACTGAGCAAAAACATAGCAGCTTCAATAATACAAAAATAGTTCAGTTGCTTCAATTTGACTCATTGTCGTTATCTACTTTGTTCAAGGCTAAATCATAGCAGCTTGTATTTCACTCCCTGAGTAGGGTTTCTGCAGTGCAGACCTAATCTGTCTTGCTCCCTCTAAACTTTGATTTGGGATATATGCAGAACTCAAGCTACCAAGGAATGATTGACTTACAACTTTCAAGTCATGACACTTTTACCATATGAAAAGTGTATGAAAAATCTTGGCCTCAATTTCCAAACCCAAGCATTATTGCATTTGCCTCTTAACTAAGAACCTTCAAAGCTAAAGAAGGTTCTTAGTTAAGATAACCATTATTGCATTTGCATCTTGAGCTGTCATTTTTATGTAATTTTCATGCTCGTCGGATGTTAACAAATAATTCTAACATGAACATCTACCAAAACAGCATGAACAAGCATAGGCACCAGTAACTTTCTCAAATTTATAAACATGTCTCCAGGGTTGAGCAATTCTAATAAATTTAAGGTCGTCCTAAATCATATACCAAAACAGCATGAACAAGCATAGGCACCAGTAACTTTCTCAAATTTATAAACATGTCTCCAGGGTTGAGCAATTCTAAATAAATTTAAGGTCGTCCTAAATCATATACCATTCTAGGACTAAGAAATAGTTTTGCTGACTCATATACCACTCTAGGACTTGAGAAATAGTTTTGCTAACTCAGAAACAACTTACCCAGTTCTCAAATATATTTGAAGCAAAAGCATGCAAAAAATTGCCAAAATTCATCCATTATCAAGCCGACAAAATTAAAGATCTTTCTACCAAATCAAACAAACTTCATTTTCCCTCAAATTTAATAAGCTGGGTCATTTCCAGCAAGAATCGTTTGTGAATTATAGTGATCGTAGGATGGAAAAAAAACTCAACGGAATCACCAAATTCAATATACAAGACCCTAACAAACATAAACAAACAGTGTAGTCAACCTAAAATTCAAATCCCAGACATTTCCACCAAATTCAAACAGAAGCACAATCATCACAATAATCCAGAAATTCGCAACCTTTCAGCAACAACATATTCTAAATCATTCCGATCCATATGTAAACTAAACTAAATTATACAAAAATCGAAATCAACAAAGGGACGATGTTTCATAATCTTAAATCCAGTAAACGCAAGCAGTAAAATAACACAATCGAATATTTCAAGCAATCTATCACAATAGTAGCGAGAAAACCACAACACAATCACATATTCAAGGAACACCAGAAATTTTCGCAAAAACGCAAATTTACCGAAATCCCTAGATCCAAAAATAACGTGCATTGGCACACAAGGAGAGAACTCACCTGATTGAATATCTAAGTATGAATGAAGTTGTAGAAACGAAACCCTAGAATCCTCGCCTTTCTTCTGACCTCTATGCGCGAATGTGTAATTTTGTGACTGAAGAATGGAATTGCAAATTAGACAATGTCTTTCGGTTTTGTTATACCCATTCTACCCTTGGTTCGATATTAAATGACTAGCCTATCCTCCAATCTGTTGGGTCATATAGCTAATGGGCCTGCAACTTGGGTTTTCTTTTTCTTTTTATTTCGAGGATTTCTTTTTCTACCATATAGTGTGAAGAAATACTTTATACATTTTTTAAAATGTCCCCGAGAAATCAGAAATATATTTTTGATTTGTATTTTTTTTTTTGTTAAATTTCAGTTAATACCATAAATGCATTTTCCGTAGCGCCCCACATACATATATTTCATTCATTTTTTAGCAACACCCCTATTTTACAACATAGTTTATTCTGGAAATGCATTTCTGGAATTTTTCGAAAATACATTTCCGATTTGTACTCAACCTTTATATATCATATATGTCTGTGCAAGGTGCGTATCAGAAATAAATTTCCGATTTTAAGAGGCAATTTTGGAATTTCACGTGGGACGCTAGAAAACTATAGGGTGGAAAAAGAAATCTTCTTTTTTTTTGTTCTAAATAAATAATTATTATAATATTAAATTAGGGAATTGCTTATCCCGAAAAAAATGCCTATGGAAAATAAAAAATGTTCCTCAAATTCTGGAAGTTCATTTTCGGACACACCATTTTTGCATCAAAACACGTTCTATAGTGAGTTTCACCCCATTTTTTCTCCAGAATTTAGTTTGGAGATGCATCTTCAGATTCACCTTATACGGACATCATGCATTCCTAACTGAGACACACTCATTTTGTCATAAATTGATCAGTAGATTCTTCTTCACATTCACCCCTGACAGAATACGAAGATGCATTTTTTTATTCACACCAGACCGTAAATTTTGACTTTATTTTAGAGATACATTGATATAATTAACAATGTATTATAACTATACTATCATATTAAATTTTATATAAATTAAACTATACACTTATCAAATAATATGAAAATGAAATATACAAATGATTAAATTCTGGATCCATAATGAAGTCAAAATAAAACACAAACGATAATAATGCTCCTAATAGAAATAATATATACTACTGGGTATGTCGGACCCGGGCCCCTTTGTTCTTATGTTGCCTCGTGTAGTGCAATTTCGTATGTGTGTCATCAATGATGGCATCTAGAATGTCTCTCGCCTCATAGCTTTCTGGAAAGACTACATTGTTTATATCCTCCTACGCAATATCCATGATACATCGACATCTAAGTAATACATTAATAACATGATCTACTCTAGCCCACCCATCCTCTAATATCTTCTGGTGAACTGGCTTGGATGGATCTCATGGAGCATCTGATGTCATATAAGGATGTGGCACTCTAAAATACCTTTGATTGTAGTTGTATGCAGCACTCTAGTCATTAGGAGCTAGGGTACTTTGTGCCTCATTCAGTACTAGATGATTAAGGAAATCATCATACATAACATAGTTGGAGGAGAAAAATTAGAGGGATCTCTGAGAACAAACTACATGTAGTCGAAGTGCCGCATGACACGCTCAAGCAGATGTAGATACATAAGGCGTGACTCGCAAGCCAACCATATAGAGTAGAAGGCTATATCGTCCAAGAGATGTGTTTAACGTTGATTGGTGTATGCTTGTAAGTGTATATCCTCTACTATAAAATGATCAAGATACACCTAAAAAGGCTCTATCGTTGAATTCCCTCTAAGCGGTGTGAATGCATAAGCACGTGGCATATCCTGAGTGTAGGTCGGAACATATGACCATTTGAATATGCATGGAAAATGTTGGATGATCCAAGCTTGAAATGGTATATATGAATTATTAGTAATAGTGTAGCACAAGTGTTATGAAAATGATACAAAAACATTAAAATATGCAAATATATACCGTCAACGGTGTGCAGCTTCTTGTCATGTGTTTGGTTTTCCACATACAACCTTCAATTAACTTTGAAGTGCATGTATACCAAACAAGTGCCCCCCAATTGTACTCATGGATCTGCTCCAAGTCAATAGGTGTGCTCTCAATGTGTATGCTCTATGACGCATAACTTACTCATCATCACTTGTGGCTTGCTCTGTCGCATAAAGTTGTTGTGCATATAACCTCTATGGGAATCAAAACCTAGCATGACACCCTCAGTGGCTTCTAACTCCTACAGGGCATCCCAGGTTAGCTACTAGATAGTCCACCATTTTAATGTTGTGGCAGAACCTACTATTATACTGGTTTTGCATTTGTATTTGCAAATGTTGCGGTAAGCAAGAGTCGCCATTGATTTTTCTTTTATCCAACAAAGGAAAGGGTGAAAAGAACAGAAAAAGACCTTTCGAGAGTTTTCTGAGTAAGGGGGTAGATTATGGAAAGGGAAGGTGTTAGCACCCTTTCCATCCATAGTTATCTACGGGCTTTTAGATGCTTAGCTCATTTGAAAAAATATCTTGTGCTTTGTGTGTTTAAAAAGTATTTTTGAAAGGAAGCGCCTTAGTACGACGAACTTTGTAATGTTTCTCGGATTGGTAGAGAACATATACGAAGTGTTTTGAAAAATGTTTTTGGAAAGAGTTTTGTGTACGTGTAAAAGTTTATTTTGTTTTGAGCAAACATCAATGAATTATCTACTTTACTCGAAAGGTTGTTATTTTCCTCTTTTCCTTTAGACACTACTATCCTACTATTAGTGAGTAGGTAGCCCTATTTGTTGGATATTTGAGGGGTATTCGAAGGTGAAACAACCGGCTGAAAATCATCAAACAATAAAGTCGCCATCAAACGTCTTTTATCCCACATGTAGGGAAAGGTAAACATCAAGAAAACCTGAGAAGGGAGAAGTCACGGTCTTGCGACCGAGAGATCGGGTAAGGGAATCTGTTATGCGAGGGGAAGGTATTAGCACCCCACACGCCCATAATACTCAACGGTATCCACTCTTGTTATCTATCTTATGGGTGTATTTAATATATGCTTACTGTTTACTATACTACTAAAGGGAAGAATGTATGCAAAAGAAAGGAGAAAAAGAATGTAGGGAAAATAAAATTGTGCTCGCTTGGGCCCCACCCCAATGCCTACGTATCCTTTTTGAGGAATCAGAGCTAACGTAGTTCGGCTCTAATGTTTTTTGTTTGTTTGTGTTTTTTATGGACGAAGTTAATCCCGCCTTCTGCCGCAGCTCGACCTTTGGAGACTTATGCATTGACACAGAAGTAAACTAATCATGTCCTTACCTGAAAAGGGTTTTAGAGAAAGGTGCTCAAACACACAAAATGGTTTGAATTAGTTTGTGTTTTATTACCTTGAAAAAAGGGTTTAAGTATGATTAGCATGTTTTTTATTTGCTAAGAAAAGAAGTTTTTGTTTTAGATGCAAGGATGCAAAGAGGGAAAGAAAAGAGTCTAAGGGAGAATATAATATTTCTAACCTACTGTTATCATACAATGGTGGTCCTAAGGTTTGGATTAACAAAAGGGAAATGTCTACCTAATGTTAGCATGCATGGTTTACGACCTAAGGTCTAACTTATGTTCGAATAGAGCAAGCACATCCTAAGGGAACATGGTATGTACAAGGATAAAGCAAGCAAGCTAATAAGCTCAAGAGAGCACACCTAAAGAGATCCTACCTAAGTTAGCATGCCAAAGAAAGTCTAACAAAACTATCCTATAGGGAGCATGCAATGAGAGCGAAGTCGTGATCTCAATTTCTAAATTGAGTGACTCATCGATCAACAAGAAACAAAGGAAAGCGATAAACTCCTATAGGGAGCATGCACTAAGAGCGAAGTCGTGATCTCAATTTCTAAATTGAGTGACTCATCGATCAACAAGAACGTAAACAAACACAAGCACAATACATATAGCAAATGAAGTACGGAATGCCTGCTACAGGTCTTTAAACAGCGACTTTGAGCGCACGCTCTTTATTTCCTACTACACATGATATCTAGAAAGCGATAATGAAATGCAATAAAGTGCAAAGAAGTACAAGGGTAGTAGCAGAGGCTACCAAAACGAGAAAGTCGTCAGGGGCAGACGAAAGCACTGGAGAAGCAAGGAGTACGCGTCAAGCAAGCTTCATCAAAAAATAAACAAAGTCAGAAATAAAATCCAACTAAGATAAAGGAAAACGCGTGCTGCGAATACAACGTGTAATCAGAAGCTCCTGCACAAAACTCATAAAGCATCACACACGTCAGAACGACACATAACACAATATGAAGTTTCTCAGGACGATGAGAAATAAAGCGCGTCACATCAGAAGCGGGCATGAGTCGTATTCTTCTATCACCTAACTACTTGTTATGTTACATAATCGAAAGCAAAAAGAACGTACATTGCACAATGAACAAACGCGTCAAAATAACGAGATACGACAATATGAAAATACGAATATGAATTAAAAAAGTATTTTTTTATTAGTTTTTTAATGTAAGGAAAATTCTAGAAAATTTAAAGAATTAATTCCTAAAAATTTCTATTCTATTCTATCACATTTTTTATTGTTTTATTACATTTTTACTATTTATAAAAAACTAGAAGAAAAACTAAAATAAAAGGAATTTAGAAAATTCAGGGGGTATAAGTCTTGAAAGGGTGGTGGATCAACAACTAACACCAAGGCCCAAGCATGAAGGTCCAGGAGCAGTTTTTGTAACATGCAATTCAGGCTTCCAAAGACGTGATAATAGGCCTGAAGAGAAAGGAATTTTGGTCCAGCACTTTGTTATTTATTTAATTCAGTTTTTTATTGTTGTGTTTTAAAAAATAAAAAATAAATTAAAACAAATAAAGTTAAAAAACGTGCGAATTGAAAGGGGAATAGGGTTAGGACGACTGAGCTTCTTCTCTCTTCTTCTTCGCGACGCCGTCGTCTCTCTTCTAATCGTCGCCTCCGTCTTTCCCTCTTCATGCTTCAACCTCCGTCTTAACGACCAACACAAAAATCATCATCTCAACCTCTCTTCTATCCTTTCGGATTCAAATCATTGAATCATCATCTCTCACACTTTGCATCCACCATCTGTGGTCTCCAATCTCACCGTTTCATATCTGCCTTCCGCCTATGGTACCAAATTCCACCAATTTTCAGTAAACTGGCCTAAACCTAACCGAAAAGGTTGAACCCTAGGCTTAGTGCGAGTGACAATAAACGCTATATGTGAAGCTTTGGGACTCGATTGATTGTGGTTATGCTTCTCAATACTCCTATCTACGCGACGACATGAAGATTGAAGCAAAGGATGGCGAAACGAGGGAGTTCAGTACTTACCTATCGCGATATTGAAGGCGAAAGAGGGAAAACCATATGTGAGGTTCCAGGTACGAAATATTTTTCCTCTTCTCGTTCTCGCATTATTTCTTCTTCCGCATAATTCTTCGATTTTGTGATTTTTGGATATCGAGAAGTTGTCGTTGATGTGTGAACAGAGAGAGCACATAAGTGCAGTGTCGTTGAAGCTGGGAACTAAACTCGACGTATGGTGGAGGATGCAGAGGAAACAAGATAGAGGAAGGTGATGATTATGGAGATGATGAAGTGAGGTTGAAGGTGGAGATTTGCAGGAAATAATGAAGATGATGAGGAAGAAGGAGAGAGAATAGAGCTTCGGAAGCTTTCTGGTGAGTTTTCGTTTTCTTTTTCTTTCTGTTATCTCTGTCAAATATCAATCGTGAATAAATTGTCCAATCTCTCCATCTTTCTCCATTTCTATTATTATCTTCTTCTCTCCGTTGGAAGTTTGTTAAGATTTCTGTTATGGAAGTTGGATTCTGTTAA